CCCGGGCCATCGGCCGCCCCGCCTCACAGGGCACCCACACCATGGGCACCATGGTCGGGAGCAAGGCCTCCGGCATCGGCGTGGCCCCCGGCGCCAAGTGGATCTCGGCCAAGGGCTGCAAGGACAAGTACGCGCCACTGGGCCGGGCTTTCCTCTCGGCTTTTCTTTTTTTTTTTCCGCCCCCAACGCCCCGCGCCCCGCCTCGCCGCCCGCAAGCACCGAGCCCCTGACCGCCACATGCCGGCCTTGCGGCCGTGGGCCGCCGCGCGTCGCGCGCCCCGGGGCCCCGCTCGTCCGCCCGGGCGCCTGGTCCGGTGGCGCCGCGCAGGAACTGCAAGACCTACGGCCTGACCAAGGCCGCCGAGTGGATGGTCTGCCCGTATGCCGACAACCTGCCCCCCCGGTGCGACCTCGGGGCCGACATCATCAACAACAGCTGGGGCGGCACCCACGGGTTCGATCCGTTCTTCGCGCTGCAGGTCCGGGCCTTCCTCGAGGCGGACATCGTGCCCATCTTCTCCAGCGGCAATTCCGGGCCCCTGTGCGGGACAACCGGCTCGCCGGGCGACCAGATCCTGACCCTGTCGGTCGGGGCCACCGACAGCCGCGACGCCCTGGCGGACTTCAGCGCCCGCGGCCCCGGGCCCCGGGCGTCCGGCTTCGACCGGCTCAAGCCCAATGTCGTGGCCCCCGGGGTGGCCATCCGGTCGGCGTACTCCACCCGCGGGGGGCTGCTGAACAATCGCTTTGCCGCCATCTCCGGCACGTCGATGGCGGCCCCGGCGGTGGCCGGCGTGGCGGCCCTCGTGCGCTCCGTCAACCCGGCCCTGCGCGTGGAGGACATCTACCGCCTGCTCGAGGACACGGCCGTCCGGTCGACCATCACCGCCCCGGCGCCCTCCCGGCTGGGGACCAACTCTTGCGACGGCGTGCACTGGGTCGACTTCCCGAACTACCACTATGGCTATGGCCGGGTGGATGCCCTGGCCGCGGTGCGGGCGGCCCAGCGCCGGCTCCGGACCTCCGGCGGCGCGTGAAAGAGCCCGCGCCCCGGTGCCGCAGGGAGCCGCCCGCCGTCGGCGGCAATCCCCCAGCAGGAGGCCGACGCGAAGGCCGATCGCTTGGCCCGGATGGAGACACGGGTCTTCCGGGCGAGCGGGCGGCCATCGGGCCGAGCCGGGCCCCGGGAAGCCGCACAACAAGCCCCAGGGCTCGAGCCAAACACACACGGCGGCTCGTCCCGCGGCCGGCGGCTCGCTCGCCCGGTCCGCCCCGCCCGGCATCGACGATGCAAGAGACCAGTTCCCCCCCCAATAAATGAGCACCACCCCCGAACAGCATCTCAAGGTGGAGGAACTGTGGGCTTTCCGCCGGCGACAACGTGACCAGACATGTGCCCGGCCCGGCGTGACATGCTGCTGCCAGCGCGCCATCCGCGCACGATCGATGTCCCGCTCTGCCGCCCCCTGCGACGGCGGCGTGCAGACGGGTGGGCGGGGGCGACTTGACTCTCCTCTTTCTTTTGCTGCCCGGCTGGGCGGGGGGGCGGCGCGGGGAGCCAGCCGGGGAGCGCAGTCGATCGGATGTCGGCTGACCCATCGCACACTCACCCGGGATACACGCCTTCCAATGGGTTCCCCCCCGGCGGACGGCGCACGCCCGGGCACATGTGCCACCGGGGCCCCTCCATCCCCCCCCCCCCCCGTCCCGACATAGGGGCACTTTCACACGCAGATGTCCTTCTGGAAGGAAGGTGCCTGCTCACAGGGGGAGGGGGAGATTGCTGCCTCACCACGGGCAGCGGACACCTTTTTCCGGGGCCCCCTTTTATCAAGAGCTCGCTCCAGGGCAGATCCACCATCCACCCCATCCCGCCTCCGCCTCCGCCTCCGCCTCCGCCTCCGCCTCCGCTACCGCTTCCGCATCCCGCCTGCCTGTCCACCACCCGCCACTGTTGCGCCCTCTCCCCTTGGCCCGGGCGCCCGTCGCCTCCTTCGCCCATCCCCGGAGCCTCGTCAGCCGATGCTCCCCGCGCCGCTTCGGACAGCGGCCGGAGGTGTCCTACGCTTTTCACCAGCCTGCCGGCGACATGGCGACCGCGTCACTTGGTATGACACTCGCCTGATGCTGGCCCAATCGCCGGCGGCCCGGCGCACGGCCCCCACGCCCGCCCTCTGGCCCGGGGCCCCGCGCGACGAGCCCGGACTCCCTCAAAGTGTCCCGGTCATCGGCCTGCATGGGTGTCCGGCAGATGCCCATGCGCTGGCCCCGCTGGCCGGAGCCCTCTTCCGCCGGGGGATTCCCTTCCTGGCGCCGGACCTCCTGCACTCCATCCCCGGCACCATGCCCTTCACCCTGCGCGACCTGTTCCCCCCGCGGCGGCCGATCAGCTCGGAGGACATGGCTGCCGGGTATTTTTGCCACGCCTTCGAGCCCGGGGGGGCTGGCGGCAGGGGCGCCGGGGGCGGCCGCGGCCCCGACCCGGGCACGGCCCCGGGCCGAGGCAGCACTTCCGCCGGCTTCCCGGCAGCCGATCTATCTCTGGCCGGCAGGCTGCTGGCCTTTTCCGACATGAGCAGCAGCCGCTGCGGCGCAGTCAATGGCAGCCACGGCAACGGCCACGAGAGCGGCCACGGCAGCGGGCACATCGTGGCCATGGCACCCACTGCCACATGCTCGTCAACCAACCTGCTGCACGTGGCCCGGCCGGACTGCTCGCCGGGGATCTACACCGGGGCGCCCTTTGCCGGGGCCGGGCCGCTGCCCCTGTGCGGCCTCGGGCCGCCGAGCCTGGACCACCATCTCCAGCACCTGGAGGACTTCCTCCAGCAGGCCCTCCCCCAGGCCAGCCACTTCCCGGTGGACTTGCTGGTGCACGATGTGTCCTTCGCCCTGCTGGGGCATTACCTGGCCCGGCGGCCGGATTTCGCCCGGCGGGTGCGTTTCGTCTTTTGTGCCTCGGTGCCCGGGCCGCATCGGGCCGTCCTCCGACCGATCCCGGTGCGCCCGCAGCGGCGGCTGCTCCAGCTGCTGGCCACCGGCCAGGCTCCCAGCCTGGCGGTCGAGGGCCATGTCGGCCAGCTGGCCCTCCGGCGGCTGGATGCCGGGCCGCCGGGCGCCGGCCCCACCGGGGTGGGCCTCTCGCTGCCAGGGCCGGAGGCCTTTCCGGCGGTGCTGGCCGCGCAGATGGCCTACTTCCAGGGCCAGGGCCACACCCACCCGGAGAGCCTCTTCCTGTCCCTGACTCGGAGCAGCAGCCTCCGGCGGCTGACGGCCATCGCCGCGGCGGCCGGCGACCCGCCGCCCGCCCCCCATCCTGTGGACGCCTGGCTGGACTCGGAGGCCCTGGCAGCCGATCGCCGCCTCGGGCCCCAGGACCCCGAGCAATTCCGCCGCCAGCTCCTGGCGGCCACCGCCTCGGAGAAGGACATCCGCAAGCTGGCGTACGCCGGCCAGGCGCTCTTCTGCGGCGGGCCCCTGACCGGGAGCCTGGACTGGAGCAGCCCGCCGGCCGAGGGCCTGCGCCTGCCGACCTTCGTCCCGCTGGCCGGCGACCTGGACCGGGTGAATCCCATTGAGGAGGTCCTCCGGCCGCAGGCGCTGGCACTGCCGGACGCCTGGCCGGCCTTCCGCCTCAGTGATGCCGGGCATCACCTGCTTTTGCAGCGGCCGGGAACCGTCGCCGGCATCATCGCCACCCTCCGGGGCGAGGCTCGCATCGACACGCCGGACCTCGGCCACGGCCACTGACCCTGGGCTCCCTCGTGCATGGCTCCTGCTCGGCCCCCCTCCCTTTCCCTTTACCCCCATGACCACGGGCGCATACAAAAAATAGACCTGCTCGTGGCCGCCCGCCCCTTCCCCTCCCCCCCCCCCGTGACGTAGGTGTTCGCCCTTCGCCTTTGGCCAGGGCGCTGGGCGTCCAAGAGAGAGAGAGGCACATGGGGAGGCTGTCTATTTGGAAACGCATCATCACCGAGTGGGCGCCACGGCGTGCGGGCGCCCCGGCCCGGGGCCTGGATCGCGGCCCCTAATGCACCCGGGTCAGGCCCTCCAGCAGGATGCGAATCGAATCCAGATACCCGGACACCGAGGCGCCCAGGGTGAACATATCCTCGTCGGTCACGTCCGGGCATTGGAGCGAGTGCGCGCTGGATGACACCAGCAGCACCAATATCCCGATGGACAGGTCGAAGCCGATCAGGATGTGCCGATGCCCGGACAGCAGCAGCGAGGGCGCATGCAGCGCGCCCAGGCATTTGGCTGGCAGCACGGGGAGGGCCAGCGAGCGAGCGAGCGAGCGAGAGAGGGAGCGCCATACATGCATGCGCAGACCGGGGACGCCGCCAGGGGTGCCGGGCGCAGGTCGGGCGAGAGGGGGGGGGGGGGGGACGGGTTAGAGCAGGGCCCAAAGCGGTGTCCGGCCGGATGGCACACCAGGCGCACCGAGTTGGATGACGCTCCCATGGAGGAGGACCACGAGCTCGGCATTGAGAGGCATGAACCATCCCTGCACCGGGTCCACCGGCACGTCGGGCGACAGGCCGAGCCGAGCCAGGCCCCCGGGGCCGACGGCCGCCGGGGGCGGCGAGATGCCCCCCTTGTTGGGCTTGCCGTGCCCGGGCTGGCCGATGGCCAGGGCGGTGGACTTGTTCTTCTTCGACCGCCGCGCGCCGAGGTTGAACCCCCGCGACAGGGTGGAAAAGGGGGACGACGTGGACCCGGCCCCAGGCCCGGGGCTGGAAAGGGACCGGCCGCCGGAGGGCGGGAGCGGTGGCGGCGCCGGCGGCGAGGCCACGCTCATCCCCGGCGACCCGCCGGCCGGCGGGTGGGAGGAGGATCGACCGCCGGGAGCCGACTTCGGCCGCCCGGGCCCCGGTGGGTGGGGCCCCGAGGCGGGGGGCCCGGCCGCCGGGTCGGTGGGGCCCGGGCAGACGGCGCTCGCGCCCGGCGGGGGCGCCCCGGCCGCCGGGCCCCCATCCGGACACAGCCCCGGGTACTGGGGAAAGAGGATGCCCGGCTGGGTCAGCGAGGAGAGCCTCGTGGAGGCCACCCCCGGGGGCTGGTGCCCGGAGGCCGAGCCCGGTGGCGAGGGCGAGGCCTGCATGTGCTGGGCCAGCGGCGAGGCCCAGAGGACCGTGCCCTCGTGGCTCAGCAGGGCCGCCTGTGCGAGGCACCCGCCGGCCGGGGCGATGCACTCCTGCTCGACCAGTTGCAGCCGCGAGTGCAGGTCACTGATCAAGTGGGTGGTCACCTGCGGCGGTGCGGGGCAGGCGCCGGAGCAGCAGGCGGTGCCATGGCAAAGGTGGGCAGGTGAGTGGTGGCGGCGAGGAGGGAGGGCGGGAGGGAGGAAGCGGCCAGGTGGCATACCCCACTGGAGGAGCGACAGCTCATGGCGGGGGGGGGGTGGGGGGGGGGGGGGAGGGGGGGAGGGGGGGGGGGGGGGGGTCGGGGGGGGGGGGGGGGGGGGGGGGGGGGAGATTCGGCGAGACACAGAGGGAGGAAGAGAGCAGGCGAGATGGAGGTGGAGGGAGATACCGACGGCTCGGGCGCGATGGGGGGCCCCGGCTGCGGGGGCCGAAAAAAGGCCCAGGGCCGCCTGGGCGTGGCTCCGCTCCGGGTGCCGATCGCGCCAATGGGCGGAGAGCGGTCCGCGCTCCTGTCCGCGTTCTCGTCCGAGCGAACTGGTGCCCAGACCCCCCCCCTTCTGGACGGTGTGCTCTCCGGGCGACGCAGGCGAAGAAGAGATGCTTCGTGGCAGGGGCGGGACAGGGGCAAACAGCCG